GCATCCTTGAAGCCAGCCTGGAGCTGTGTGTCCTGTCCCTCCGCCCAGCCCTCACTAATGCTCCACTCACTTCTCCAGGAACTGCTGCAGCCCCTGTCTCCGCTTCTCGATGAACTCATCCGTGCTGCCCACAAAGAAGCTGGATTTCCCGGGCAGCTCTGGGACAGGCCTGCAGGGACACAGCAGAAGCACCAGGTCACCCCAGTGCCGGCGCAAGGAGACACGGGGGCACCGGGGCAGCAGGAGCTCAGATATCCCGTGTTAGTGCCTGGAGCTTCTATCCACATCTGTCCCGAGGTCATGGTGGGTCTCCCAGGGCAATGGGAAGGAGCGTCTGGCTGCAGGAAGGGGCAAGGAGGGAGGAGAAGGCAGGGGCTTGCTTACACCAAGCCAGCATTCTTCTGGAGCTGCCTCCTCAGCCACACGAATTCACGGTACCGGCGCCGCACACACGAGGTCTTGGCAGTAAAGGCCTTGCTGTTGGTCTGCAAAAAAACACCCCAGACATGGAAATAATCCACATGACATGGAAATAATCCATGTGCTCGAGGGCAGCGAAGCAGAGGATGGCAGTATCTTGCCTGCACAGACCCCTGACTAAGGGATCCCCTCGGAGCAATGGGGTTTGGGAGAGCTCAATGTGCCTTGAGAAGCTGAGCAGGCTCCAGGGGAGAAGTTGGGTCTCAGACCTGCCCAGGAGGAGGGATGGGTGCCGCGGGTTCCCCCTTCACAGCTCCTTCCATCCCTGCTCAGCACAGCTCAGCACACACCACCCCACTCAGGAGCCTCACAGCTGAGCTCTGGAGCTCGACCCTGTCCCGCAGCCACAACTCACGTGGAGGAAGATCTTATAATCCACATAGGAATTCCAGGAGCCTTCGTTCTGCACGCGGGGGTCCTGGACACGCACCGTGGTCAGCTCCTAGGGCACAAGCACTGCCTGAGGGGGGGCACTGCCAGCCCACCCCTGGCACCAGCTGCCCCTCAGACCCTGCCCAGCATTCACCCAAAGTCTGGCTCAGAAAGGGTCTTACCTCCTCTCGGTTCTCCAACATCCTAAAGCCAGAGCCCAGCGGGAAACATCTGGAGGGAGAAAAGAGAAGGATTTAGGAAGACAAGATCAAGACATCGGGGTCTCACATGGACTCTGCACCTCACACCTCTGCCCACCCCGCAGCCCCCACGTCCACACTCTCAGCCTGATCCTCCCCCTTCAAGTCACCACGACAGCAAGAGGATGGATCCAAACCCACAGCAAAGAGAGCATCCAGCTCCATCATTACATGCTCCTGCAGGAATTCCCGTTCTGCAACACCACCACCAACCCAGTGCCAAGGCTTGGAGAAAAGGGGGGGACAGTGAGATAACCCCCACCCCCCTACGAAAAGC